TGATACTATATTTAATGATCAACACGATTTACATATCGCCAATAATGCACAGATTATTAAAATACTATTAAAATTCCATGACAAGCTACCTAATATATTGGCATCTAACATTATTTCTCATCTGAATACAAAAGTGTATCTTGGTCTATCGAATATATCAACCTGTCAAAATTACAACATGTTCCCCCTCACATGGTGGTTGAGTTCTACTTCTTAATATAATGAATGGTTGAAAATTTTGCATTCCGAAAAGTACGTTACAAAAGTTGCTAAATAATCTGGAAAACAGTGATCAACCAGCTAACACGGTTGATGGAATCAAATAATATTATTACCAACAAATGAATAGTACATGTAAATTGTTATTACTGTCGACCGTCGACCTTCGACCAGGAAAATGATATTATGTCACGTGGTAACCGTTTGATCTTTAGCCAATGTTGTTTTCTTCTTTAGATAATTGATGAATAATTTTGTTTTCAATAAGATTGTTTTGGACAGGAAACCTAAGTTAAACAAATCTTACCTCAATTTCGTGACCACAGGTCGTTTTAGGCAGTCATTGCATAACACTACATCAGCCTACTGATAAATTAGGAGGAATCTGATGACCGCCATACAAAGCACCCTAATATCATAGAAGCTGATGATATTTACACATAAAAACAGGTGTCTTTCTTTAGATATATGAAAATTGGTTTATGTCTCATAATCCCATTTATCATCATTCTAAGTGAAACTTAAATTCAATATATTTTTCTGTAGATATTTCTCGATTCCTTTTAAGGTTTTATAAAACAAATCTAGAGCATAAACTATCTAATATCGGAGATTTGTCAATGAATCAGAGATACTGTTCATGCCGGCACAACTCTGCTACTAGTAATTTGTAAAGTGTGTTTCCGTCCTTAGTATGATAACATCGTATATACAGAAAATGAGAAAGCAGACTTGTCAATTATTGTCAATAAAACATTGTTAACACATTTGTACATCAAACATAATAACTTTTATGGGAAATGGCAATTTAAAGAAATACATACTGCATTATTTACTAAGAGCTTGTACTTTCAGGCGTTACAAATATGGTATTAATTCACAATGATTTGTTTTCGGTTTTTGCACTTGGACGCTTCATGAATGCAAGGACGGACACAACCTAATCTATCACTGTATTATATTCCCAAGCTAGGCCTGATATTGCTGTGTTGTATAGCCACTCCGTAAATTTAGTACTACAACAATGCAGAGAATGCATTTTTCAATGGCAAAGTGAGGGGAAAAGGTTTTAAAAAAGTTAAAGAACAAAAATACAATTGCGAAATTATATGTAAGACAATCAAGTTCATAGTTGTTTTAAAGTTAAACATATTGTTTGGTTATTTCAAAAGGTATGCAAGTAACAAATAATGCAGAATATATTCCTTGGTTTAAACAGACATGACATGTGGATTGTAAACATCATGTATGAACAAAATGGAATGTGGGGCGTTTCTATAGAAACTTATTAAAGGTAAGAATGACATCAACAGTAACCATTGGCAACACACATCACCACCATAGGACCCGGACAGTTAACATTATCAAAACCTAAAACCATGTTTACCTAAAGAATCCACTTAAATACGTTGTAACTATGTGAGAGTATCTGGCAGTGGGTATATTGTCTAGGTTACATACAAAGTTGGAGGCTTACAAAACTGAAACAAACAGAACATTTTAAAGTTGCTACGAGATTCAATCATTGTTTTAATTGTTGTCATCAAAGCTGAAAGTGTAAATCAATAATAAAATCAGAAGATGAGTCATATCCTTAAATTCTATATTTACCACAACCTAGTTTTTCGTTGTTGATTTTGTTTAACAATTACATGAGAAATACTTGAAAAACCCTCGACGCAGTTATACACAAGATAATTCTCAGCTTGATGAAAATGATAAAAGTTAACCTTAAAACCAATACTAACAACTAGATGTAAATTCGTTTCATTTGTTCACATTATTCGTTTATCGAGGAATATCTATTATGAAAATTAAGACAGATCACAGAAAAACCGTTAAAATGTTGTTTTATCATAAAATCATTTTCTAAAACAAGAGGTCCATACAACAAGTACTGCACATCTGGATATTTAAGCATTCATTGCAAGTCATTGTTTCAGAGGAGAAGATGGTTAAAGTAATTTAGCGAAACATATCCCACCTCTCAGCCTAACACGTTTTATTCTTAAAACATAGAAAGATTCTCGCCAAATAAGGTATCAATCTCATAATTTCAGATGAAAAGTCACTGAAAGCAACATGGCAAAATCACCCCCCTTTAGTCCCACCCTTCAGCCCCCATACTGATTAGCCTTCCTTTCCAACAATTTGGAGTGTCCACCATCTGAGGCTATTTCAAGTCAAATCTGGGGAAATTATGTTCAATATTTCAGAAGAGGTAATTGAAGAAATCGTTGACAGACAGACGCCACGTTGCGGCATATAAGCTCTGTGTAGACTGTTTTAAACAACATATGAAGATAACCATATGTTTCCCAGGATAAAATAGCAAGATGCATTTGTTTTTATGTGGGTATTACTATGGAAAACTACAATAATTTATCAAGCACTGTTTCTAAAATTTCACTCTGTTATGACTGCTATTTGTTTTCCAAATAAATATGTAATTTTTATTTTGAAAATCGTTAAAATGAACAATAAAAAATTAAGATTTTAATTCCACCAAGGATGGTAAATGTAAGTCACCGTTACAAATAATTTTGCAAATTGTGTTTACGCATTTATGATATTATTCTGTCAAAATAGTTCTACTTATACATGTCTGGTCTAAACTCAAACCCATAGGACCTCTACAAGACAAATCAAAAAAAGGATCGTTCTGAAACAATAAATCCATCAAGCGGTAAATATTTAACTCATCAGAACATGTGGCTACCTTATGTAGCCTAAATTTAACCAAACTGACAAAGAACTCTAATTCACAAGAGAAATATTGCATGTTTGTTCCCAGGTTAAGTTTAATTGGTGATATTTGTTGTTTTTATTGTATTACACATTCCATCTCGATATCATGATATATGTACATATAAGCTGAAATTTATGTTTCTATCTGACTAATCCCAGTGAAGTACGCATATTATAAAGTTCAACTCTAAGTAAGTAAAAATCCTACCGAGTGTGTCTGGTGATTGGGATGGATGAGAGGGATTCTGGACATACTAATAACAACTACCATGAATCGTGACAATGACTTCATCCGTTATGAAAATATCGTTTTACTTGCATTTGAGACATGCGTTAAAAAGATATACAGGAATATGTTACATGTAGTAATATCATTTAACCTTACGACCATCCACCAACACTAGGTGTGTAATGAACTTCAGCAGAAAACAAACTTCTATGACGGAGGGTGTGATTTTGAGCTGTAGTTACCATATTGGTGAATGACCGAAAGGCTTCAAAACGTAATAGCATCATCACATGACAATTTAGGCCGGTTGTTTAAACATAATATATCAATGTATGTACAACACATTTTTGACTTCTTATTCACATAAAAACAATCAACAGAGGATACTACCATCAATTCACTTTGTAGAATAACTATTGCTTTTTCACAAAATTACACTTTTTTATTTATTTTCAACACTACTTCTACCTCTTGTTAATGCTTTGATAAAATATTTTAAAAAGTTCCATAATTCTGTGACCTGTTCAAAACGATATTAATCATAATGTTTTTCATAAAAAAAAAAGTTTTGTCCAATACGTCAATACTTATTGATGAATCTGTCCTCTTAAGTTCTGTGAATATCAAATGGGTTTAATTTAAATCTGAATAAACAAGTGATACTACAATTTTAATGGCTTAAATAATACTGAAACCTTTCTCCGACAGATATTTCTTCCCTGCATGCCACACAGGCTCTGGATCCTTTGAAAATGCAAAACTTTGCATAACGTTTCCTGAGATACACTTATCTAAAACACGGATGTGAGCCAGATCAAACAGCCTAAACAATGTCAATGTGAGCTCCTTAAGATCCTATCCACATTAAAGTAGTCCTTATCTTCCAATTTATGAGTATGTCTTGATATTAGAATTGCATTCCTGATGGGAATATGGTAAAATGCTTACAACTGTTACTTTGAAAGCCTGAGTTAATTATTTTGTTAGATTGTAATGTCCGACTTCTCAAGGTTCTTATTTGACCTTGACATGTATTAGAAAAAATACATACAACATTTTAGTGTAAGGTATGTCATGCAGCTCATGGCGAGTAACTAGACTTTTTTGTAGGGATTTAAAATCGCAACGTCAGAATACATATGTAGCTACAGCTGTATTATTCTGAAAATCTGGATTGTTTGTTAAACTGTCTGGCTAGTTTTCCAGTCGTTAGATAAAAATATCAACATCCATTTAATGGAAATAGTTTCAATGGTTTACCGGAACAACAAAATAGCATGTTAAGTTCTTTAGTCTATCTTATTTGCTGGCGTTTTAAATGGAAACATGTAGCGAAACTTGTACTTAAAAATTAGTGTTGCTATCTTTGATACCTGGAACAATGTAACTACATTTCCAGAACATTTGAATTACAAGAGGCCCAAGGGCCTTAGCGGTCACCTGAGTTATATCATACGTACTGGTAGCTTTATTTTATTGTCTAGATGTGATGTGGAAATCAGCATGTAAACTAAGTGAAATACAATACTTGTCATGTCATCAAAGGATAAGAATTTGAAAATATTGGTAAATGTTCCCTTTGGGGCCCTGCCCTAGCCCCTGGAGATGTNCCCCTGATGATCTTTCTTTCCATGTAGAGAAAATGAGTGTAGTACCTCTGAGTCTGAAGAAGATTTTTTTTGAAATATTGGTTAATTTTCCCTTTGGGGCCCCACCCTGGCCTCTAGGGTTGGGGTAGGAATTTCAATTTTACAATTTAAAACCATCTTCCTCCAAGGATAATTCTCACCAAGTAAAAATAATTTCCTACAGAAAGTTGTCAAAATATACCCAAAAGTGTTATTTCCCTATATAAACTATAGTAAATTTTACCCCCTCCCCCAAGGGAGAACAAATAGCTGGGGGTTCCTGAAATTTACAATTGAAGTAAAGCCCCTGATGATCTTTCTTTCCATGTAGAGAAAATGAGTGTAGTACCTCTGAGTCTGAAGAAGATTTTTTTTGAAATATTGGTTAATTTTCCCTTTGGGGCCCCGCCCTGGTCGCTGGGGTTGGGTTAGGAATCCAAATTTTACAAAAATCCATCCACTGGTTCTTGTGAAGAAGTTGAAAATGTAAAAAGTTTACGCACGACGGAAGACGACGGACGGAAAGCGATTAGAATAGGTCACTTGAGCAAAGCTCAGGTGACCTAAAAACAGGCATAATTAATAAATGCAAATAGTCTTCCTAGTTTTCAAAGGCTGTTGAGCAATATTTATTTAAGTCTATGGCTGCTGAATTAGAATGATTTGAGTTACTTTGCAGGTTTTCAAAATCGAGCCCTATTCTAATAAATTGAAATAGTCGGGCAAGTCTTTTATTGCAATTACATTGTTTTAGTTTCAAATCATCGTGGATATCAACCCCGAGTTTACCCAACATTACAAGGGAAAAGGTAATCTGGCTCACATCTGTGCACAATAATAACAAATAATCAAATGTAATTAATTTTAAGCAAAACAATATGAACTGAGACTACGTATAAGTCACTGAACATAACGGTAAAACCAACAATGTGGCACAGCATTTACAATAATCTTACTCTTATCCAAATATACATCTCTCCTACTGCTTTTTTCCTTGCATACCTTTGTGAGTATGTCACGATACATGCATTGTAATGGTGTCCGTTTCCTATGTTTTTGTTAATTGTGGAATAATACATTAATTCATTCTGAACAGTGTCTTTCAGTAGTTGACTATAATACAGATTATCAAATGTGCTCTTGCATTGTACTTGCTATATGATAAATATTTTTAACAATTGGAACCATGAATTCTAATTATTAATTAATTTCTAAATTAAGAATTCTTCTACAATGCTAAATTGTACTTACTAGATCATGTCCCTTATTTTATATGAAAAATGTATGTCTTAAATTCAGTCTATAACTCTCATTTCTTTATCTTTAAAATATCATATTGCTTATCTCAACATTTTTATCACAACAGTTTCTTAATTTCACAAGATATGCACGAGAAATTCAAATGGAAATGAGCTTTTAAAAAAATTTCACATTTAAATAACTGTCTGTAGTTGATATGAAACATTGAAATAGCAATAACAAAGATTAGGTGTCTGGGATTTCTTATATGAAGACAAGTTCACAGAGTAGAAGATTATCGACCAGGTTTTTGAAAAGTCATTATGTAGAGTTTTCAAACATTTTACAGAGGTTTGTGTATTTTTCTAAATCAATTCGCGTTCGTTAATTTAATGGGAGTAATTTGACAATACATAATCATTAAAGTGGAATGAGATACAACCTCAGAAGAATACATCTTTAATATTAATTTGGAAGAATATTGTTTTGTGATTTTAATGCCTCAGAAATATTTTCTTGTTTATAACTGCACAGGTTTTTTAAGAACTATTACTGTTATTTTCAAAGAACATGCACTTTTATTATCGCAATATTAAATGATATCTCTAAGTTTCTAACCATGTAGTGAACAGAACATAGATATCTAACACCGCCATGCACATGTAAATCAACAGTTTGTTCAACGTCTGGATAAGAACAATTTTAAAGTTGGAGTGCCATAGAACCACTATCAACTAGAAATAACAACAAAATAACTAAACAACTGTGTTCCTCATATCCACACCATCAGGTATACCCAAACGACGACGCGTCGATGGTGACAGTGTGGAGGATTGTGATTGGCTGATTTGAGATTGAGCTGGATCTTCTGATTGGCTGATTGGAGAAACTGCCTCAGACAGAGGAGACACAGTTTGTGATTGGCTGAATGAAGATGAATGTGTACTGTCTGTTGGATCACATGGGGAAATGGAATTGTCACTAGTGGGAATATTTGATAACGGAGAAACAATATCACAATCAGTCCTGGGCTTCCACGGCCCATCCTCACTGTCCTCAGGGTCACTCACCTACAGAGAAAATGACTAGTTTATTTTACTGAGAGATTACATGTCATATATGTGACGAATGGAGGAAGTTACATAAAAAATATTGGATATTAATTCATATTTACATATAGTAGCCAAAGTATGGTCCAATATATGTACCTCATCCAAACAAACGTCTGTAATAGGAACAGTGCAGACAAAAGAATTTTTGTATGCACAGTTTTCACACTTCACTTCCATGTAGGTAATACACAATATAAATTATTTTTGTAGATGTATTCATTACTTTTATTTACTACTAGCTGGCCGAAGGAACATGCTTTAACATCACGTAATAATTCAGTTTATGCTAGTTTTCTGTTTTATATTTCTTGATGAAATCGAATAGTTTCATGAAAAAACAGTTTTTCTCTGTGATATAAGTTGCCATATGCAATTGTTCTTATGTGTGTCATAATGAATCACGTTGATCGTAAATGTTAAGGAAGCAACGTTACCGTCTTGGAGTCTTTTGCGGAATCCTGCGGCTTCCCTGATTTGTCCGCGGCGGCCTCCTGGTACCCAAAGGTATCATCATCCTCCTGGATCTGGTTGTAGTCGGGAGGAGGCGGGAGGTTGCCATCGGGTGGGGTCACACGTGGGTCGGAGGGTATCTGTGTAGAGTGGGAGGCGTCCACATTCTGTGAGCGGAGGATATTCAGGATCATGGCAATGTCACAACCCATTTTTCTCTCTAGTCTTGTCAGCTGCCTGTGGATAGATGATTAGCCAAAATATAAGTCACTATCTTTTACTGTTAACAACTTATATACTTTGAACTTGCATACATTGGTGGTATTCCAATTTTATTGCTTTTCATGCTTAACATCTTGCGCTAACTCATGAATCATGTAAGAAATATTTACAGAAATTAAATCTCTGATTACTCACCTTGCTAAATCCTCAAGTCGTCTCTCAACATCCTGAGGACTGGAATGGCCATCGTTGGGGTCACCTGGACAGGTCTCCGTGGGAATGAAGGTTGTCTGTCCTTGAGCCTCCTCAAACTGGGACTGTGTTGAGGGACTGGACACAGGCAGTGTCATGGACGAGGTGGACTTGGGCATACTGGAACTGGACATCCCTTTGGGCTGGAATAGCCACAGCTTTAAACATCAAATTTATTATCTATAATACGGTTACTAATGATGAGAGTCCTTCCCCATGATCAAAGCCAAATGCAACTTTATCATTACATTGGATTCAACTTTTATATATTATCTATCAGGTTGTGATACTGTGATTAATCAGATATTTTTTGTAGGACACAAATTTCGTGGTTGCCTCCCGAAAGCCCTATTTTGTGGGTACATGAATTCATCGATTATTAGTAGCCAATCATACAGGGAATAGCTTTCTGTCAAACCCGTTATTACTTCATTGACCTATGCATTTGTTCATGAAGAGTACCCACGAAATCAACGAAATTATAAACCCCACGAAAGTAAGTGATTTCACAGTAAACCCGGGGTACTTACTTCTGAAAAAGGAAATAATTGCATGTAGTCCTTTCTAGTGAATGATGATGCACATAAAAGGCTTGCTTCAAGAATTGGCTAAAGGTAAAATCATTGTTTTACAGAGGGAGACACAATACCGAGTATGTGTTTATCAGTGGTAAACATGGTAATAAAACAGGTAATTTGTTGAAGTAAGTTATTATAATTTATTATAATTACTCTAACAGTGAAAGTAATTTCAAGAGATCAATAGTTTAGTGGTGTGCAAGAAAACTACTTCAAGTATAGTATTAAGTATGTAAATATATAGATAGTCCTGACACTTTTTTTTACTAATTACAGGCCCGAGAAAGTCATTTTTTATTCAATTTCTGTTTTTCCTCTCTTTTCACGCAAAGACAAACATAGGTAGCAAGGCATTTTAGAGACTTTTGAAGTGATACCAAGGACTGTTCGAGAAAAGTTTTAACAGATATTTCAGGTAGAGTGCAAATCAGGAAGTTTACATTAAACAATAATATTCTTGTGGTGTAATAGATTTCCTTTCCATAAATGAGAATTTATTTTTGGCCCATACATTTTCAGGTAATTCTGTCAAAAGTTAGTCATTCAAATTCAATTCCCGTTTGGCCGGCAGTTTCCGTTCCACAATTTGCTTGACTGCGCTGATGTTGTCTTATCATGCAATTTCTATTATACTTGGTAAGAGATGCTATTTACATGTATTACCTTCGATATAGGACATACCAGAGTTTGTCATACATGCATATAATTGTGAACATACCTGTATGTATATGCTGAACACACCATAATATAATCATTAACATTCCTGTATGTAACCAATCATTCACATAATTTGGTACATTTTTTAATCTTTAACATACCTGTATATAATTGTTAACATATATACCAGTATGCAATTGTGAACATATCTGGATATATAACCATTAACATACCTGTAGGTAATCATTAACATACCTGTATATTTTAAATGTGAACCTACCTGTAGGTAATCATTAACATACCTGTATATTTTAAATGTGAACCTACCTGTAGGTAATCATTAACATACCTGTAGGTAATCTCTATATAAACCATAACATACCTGTAGGTAATCATTGAAATACTTGTCTGTAATCCTGAACATACCTTTATATAATCGTTAGCGTAACGTATATAATTGTTAACATAATCGTTAGCGTACCGTATATAATTGTTACATAATCGTTAGCGTACCATATAATTGTTACATAATCGTTAGCGTACCGTATATAATTGTTACATAATCGTTAGCGTACCGTATATAATTGTTACATAATCGTTAGCGTACCGTATATAATTGTTACATAATCGTTAGCGTACCGTATATAATTGTTACATAATCGTTAGCGTACCGTATATAATTGTTACATAATCGTTAGCGTACCGTATATAATTGTTACATAATCGTTAGCGTACCGTATATAATTGTTACATAATCGTTAGCGTACCGTATATAATTGTTACATAATCGTTAGCGTACCGTATATAATTGTTACATAATCGTTAGCGTACCGTATATAATTGTTACATAATCGTTAGCGTACCGTATATAATTGTTACATAATCGTTAGCGTACCGTATATAATTGTTACATAATCGTTAGCGTACCGTATATAATTGTTACATAATCGTTAGCGTACCGTATATAATTGTTACATAATCGTTAGCGTACCGTATATAATTGTTACATAATCGTTAGCATACCACATATAATTGTTACATAATCGTTAGCGTACCAAAATAATTGTTACATAATCGTTAGCGTACCGTATATAATCGTTACATAATCGTTAGCGTACCGTACATAATTGTTACATTATCGTTAGCGTACTGTATAACATAATCGTTAGCGTACCGTATATAATTGTTACAGTATCGTTAGCGTACTGTATATAATTGTTACATAATCGTTACCGTACCGTATCTAATCGTTACATAATCGTTAGCGTACCGTATATAATTGTTAACATAATCGTAAGCGTACTGTATACAATTGTTACATAATCGTTAGCGTACCACATATAATTGTTACATAATCGTTAGCGTACCAAATATAATTGTTACAAAATCGTTAGCGTACCGTATATAATTGTTACATAATCGTTACCGTACCGTATATAATTGTTACATTATCGTTAGCGTACGGTATATAATTGTTACATAATCGTTACCGTACCGTATATAATCGTTACGTAATCGTTAGCGTACCGTATATAATTGTTACATACTCGTTAGCGTACCGTATATAATTGTTACATAATCGTTATCGTACCGTATATAATTGTTACATAATCGTTAGCATACCACATATAATTGTTACATAATCGTTGGCGTACCGTATTTAATTGTTACATAATTGTTTGCTTCCCGTATATAATTGTTACATAATCGTTAGCGTACCACATATAATTGTTACATAATCGTTAGCGTACCAAATATAATTGTTACAAAATCGTTAGCGTACCGTATATAATTGTTACATACTCGTTAGCGTACCGTATATAATTGTTACATAATTGATAGCGTACCGTATATAATTGTTACATAATCGTTGGCTTACCGTATATAATTGTTACATAATCGTTAGCATACCACATATAATTGTTACATAATCGTTAGCGTACCGTACATAATTGTTACATTATCGTTAGCGTACTGTATAACATAATCGTTAGCGTACCGTATATAATTGTTAACATAATCGTTAGCGTACTGTATATAATTGTTACATAATCGTTACCGTACCGTATCTAATCGTTACATAATCGTTAGCGTACCGTATATAATTGTCATATAATCGTTAGCGTAACGTATATAATTGTTACATAATCGTTAGCGTACCACATATAATTGTTACATAATCGTTAGTGTACCAAAATAATTGTTACATAATCGTTAGCGTACCGTATATAATTGTTCCATAATCGTTAGCGTACCGTATATAATTGTTACATTATCGTTAGCGTACGGTATATAATTGTTACATAATCGTTACCGTACCGTATCTAATCGTTACATAATCGTTAGCGTACCGTATATAATTGTTAACATAATCGTAAGCGTACTGTATATAATTGTTACATAATCGTTAATTAGCATACCACATATAATATAATTGTTACATAATCGTTAGCGTACCGTACATAATTGTTACATAATCGTTAGCGTACCGTATATAATCGTTACATAATCGTTAGCGTACCGTATATAATTGTTAACATAATCGTAAGCGTACTGTATATAATTGTTACATAATCGTTACCGTACCGTATATAATTGTTACATTATCGTTAGCATACCGTGTATAATTGTCATATAATCGTTAGCGTACCGTATATAATTGTTACATACTCGTTAGCGTACCGTATATAATTGTTACATAATTGATAGCGTACCGTATATAATTGTTACATAATCGTTACCGTACCGTATATAATTGTTACATTATCGTTAGCGTACTCTATATAATTGTTACATAATCGTTAGCGTACCGTACATAATTGTTACATTATCGTTAGCGTACTGTATAACATAATCGTTAGCGTACCGTATATAATTGTTAACATAATCGTTAGCGTACTGTATATAATTGTTACATAATCGTTAATTAGCATACCACATATAATTGTTACATAATCGTTGGCGTACCGTATTTAATTGTTACATAATTGTTTGCTTACCGTATATAATTGTTACATAATCGTTAGCGTACCGTATATAATTGTTAACATACCTGCATGTAATCATTGAAATACTTGCCTGTAATCCTGAACATACCTTTACATAATCGTTAGTGTACCGTATATAATTGTTAACATACCTGTAGGTAATCATTGAAATACTTGCCTGTAATCCTGAACATACCTTTATATAATCATTAACGTACCTGTGTGTCTGAACTCTGGCTCTGGCTTTGGTCCTGTAACAGAGGTGCAGTGTCTTGGTCCATTTTCTTGCCCTGATGGTCGTAGCGTCCAGTTACAGCATTCACGAGATTGTTGACGTTAGCCAGGGCTCCAGCTTGTCAATATAAATACAACTACTGTGAATTCCTATACCACTACACCAAACAATCAATATCTAGGTCATTTGTTTACTGTAATTTATTGTACACACAAAATGGTGTTAAAAAGCGATCATTGAACAATTGCGGGATCAATCAGAATATTGCACTGGTGTAAAAGTAACACTTTCAGAATTAATTTTCATTGATTGTAGTTTAAAGACATTAAAGATATTGCTACATTTGTAGATAAATGAATGAATAGGGGTTGCCGGAGAGAACTGATTGCCAAAAATGGGCAAAAGCTACACATTTCCAATGTAATTCTAACAAATAAACATTAAAGTTAATTTAATAAAACATACAGATATATCTGACATGAAAATAAGTGTCCCTCCCACACCTCAGCTCCACTGAAACAGTAAACAATGTACTTGGTAGAATACGGTCAAGGGGAAATCACCTGCAATGGAGGAGAACCCTGGCCGCTTTTTATCATCTTTGGAATCAAATTCAAAGTTGGCAGGAGTGATGTCATGACCTGCCTTATTGGGCGAGAACTCAAGGATACCCGCCCCGCTTTCTTGGATTTCCTCCTCACTGGAGTCAAATGACGTGGACATCATCTGGCCTTCCGAATGGCTAACATGCCGTCGTAACCGACGTGCACGTGATGGGCGGAACTTGTATTCTTTGTTTGCCTCATCTTGAAATATACAATAGTTTTGCTTCAATAATAGCTAACATCGGAACTTCCTTGCAAAGTAAATTTACCCCTTTCATTTTTTTCCAGGCACACTTTAAAGAAATAGACATAATTTCAAGGTTACTATGGTAAAATGGGTTTCAAAAATTAAAATACAAATCCAAAATTAGGAGGATTTTTGTCATAATATTTGGCATGGAAATATGTAGCAGATCTACATTCAAATGAAAGAAATTGTCCTATTTTCTTATTTATTGAAAATGTCAAACAATTCCTTCTCAAGAACCATATGGCCTGGAATCTAAACATTTATGGTTTGTAGTTCGCATTCAAATGAATGTATTTTTTTTATCAAAAATTGGGACGATGATCTGATTATGGAACATGTCTATATTTTCAATGTTTAAAGACCAAATATATTAACTATAGCACATTTAAATATATTTGAAAAGATATGAAAATTCCAGTTACCGGTATGTTCAGTTTCTAGCTTTACAGCTCACTTGCACAAATCAGACCTGTTGTTACAATGAAGACACTAGCTGACCATCCTCCTTACCTGGAGACCCTGACCCCGAGGAGTGGTCCGACTTCACTGATCGTCTCTTCCTTAACATCTGTCTAGCACCATAGCTATTCTCATTGTCCGGCCGCCTAATCACCAGATCTTCCTGTAATATAAATCATATTTGTAGCCAGAGAAAATTCTTCAAACAGGAGAAGCCACACACATTTCTTGCCTCCAAGAATTCACCTAGACTATTAAAAATGATTTTTGTAAAATTTAAAAACAATTCCGTGTAAAAAACTACAAAACTTTTGATCATTTAATAGTATTTCAGACTCCAGTCAAACAGTTTTCCCCTAGGAACCAAGATCAACAGGAGTAAGGGAAGTAACTCTTACAGACTTGTAAAAAATCTTTTTTAGTTTTTCACAAAACCTCAGGCTATCAGAAAGAAACTTTAATCAATTGTCATTTTAAAACCTTGTTTAAATATTTAGCTACTAGTGGAAATTTCTAATTAATTAGCACTCCAAAAATCAATAATTAATAATGGGTAAGCCAACAAACAAAGATGTTAGTTATACAGAGATGTACATTGTAAGGTTAGTTGGCAAACATTACACTAAAAAATAACATCAATTGTGTTACGGAAGTGTTGACTCAACGTGCATGTGGCATTGATTGCCACTCACTGTCAAGTCCTGTGGCTAATTTAAAAGGACCTAAACATAGCCCTAAAAACTAATTCCATACAAAGGACACTAAGAAACATTTCCCCATAGCAATAAGATCAATCCTGTCTAAATTGAATCCTGAGGGACTGAGTGTTTTTTTTAAGCCAACAACAAATTTATGTCTTAATATACGGACCTAGCTAAAACTCAAAGCCCATTGTAAAAAGACTAATTATGCTAAACAAATTATAAACACATTTTTTTCAAATATGTTTTTTTCTGTCTTGAATATACAAATGTTTTAGTGTTTCCAGTCTGAAGTTGACCATATTGAATTAACAAAGATAGAAATTTAGCTTTGACAATGGCAAGTTTGTGGTAAATTGTCGCTAAGTTAACAATGCTGGCTTTGAAAATCTAATCCCAACTGTAAAAGTCTGGTTAGTTTAACAACATCTTAACACTCAATGTTCATCTAGTATTTTTATAAAAAGTGAAATTAATTCATAAATACAATTACATGTACATCCGTTAAGGACGACTCTCTGAAGACAAAAAACCACAAACAATATTTGTAAATTTAGAGATAATTTGAAAATCAGATTTTTTAAAATGGGTGTTTTAATGAGTTTTTAAGCGAATCAGACTTTAAAACTTCAGACCAGTTGTGTCAATTAAAGCCTGGTTATCTTACAACAACTTAATGCATAATTTCTAACTTGTATATTTTGATATTCAAAACTGAAGTTGTATTGTAAATTTTCAGAACATTCACAAAGTGGCATTTATATTTTTTTTATTAATACCTATTTAAGGTAATAAGACTTAATATCAGGCCCAATGGCCTCAGTCAACACATGTTTATTGATAAGTGTAACAGGAGAGGAAAAAGGCATGGCCAGGCCAGGATTCAAATCCAGGACCCTCCAAACTCTAGACGGACATTCTACCAATTGAGCTACCTTGTCCTCGGGAATCGACCCAGTCCAATTCCGCTATATTGATTAGGATTAAAATACTTACATCTCTGAGGTCAAAGGTAACTTCTAGGTTTTTGGTGAAGTGTTCAGAAAACTCAGGATACATATCGAGTATTTCCATGAGGTCATCCCGATGAATCTTATGTAGATCACAGTAGGTCAAGGCGCGTACGTTACAGCTCGACTTGCCAATTGTTTCGTGTTTACATATATTCTCCCCAAACACGTCGTCTTTACCTGTCACAGACATAAACAACACACAGTGGCTTACTTTGACATGTCCTGACTAAGAAAGATTGTTTCATTTAAATGAGGCTTTTGAATTGTCAACCGAATGCAAGCTCTGAATTACAAAAAGAAATTATATTTTTGGGTGGGGGTTGAATCATTGAGCCATTTTATTGTGCACATTAACTTTTGGCGCACCTTCTCAGGAGGGTGTGTAATACATGTATTATAAAACGTATTTTTATGTTATGCCGCTATAATAAAAACGGCCATTTTCAATCATTGAAGTCTTACTGGTTATTGTTGATTATGGTACCGTTACAAAGGTTGCTGCTTGACTGACTGGTGCGACTCATTAAACACACGTATCTATATTTTTTGAATTTAGTTTTTTGAGATTGGGAATTTTTAAAGAGATTTTGGTAAACATGCAATAACAACATTTTCCCTTGGCGGAGTAGGGGGGATACGCCCCAAAGTGGCCGAAGAAAAAGCTCTGATCATTTGAAACCTCTATCCTTTCTTAACAATTTATGCCTTCTTTCAGGTGGTACCTCCATATACATTTTGTATCGAGAGAATGCAACCAAATTTAATTGAAAACTTCAGCAGGGAATGTATTGACAATCAAATTCTCCCCATCATCACGTCAAGATTGTGTAACTGTGACTTTGACCTTGAATTTCTGACCTTGACAATTAAATGATTTCTAGAGATCGATGCTATTAATGCTTGTGTAACGTTTCATACACTTCGGTTGAAAACCCTTGTCATGCAGACTATCCAAAAGTTAACTCATTCACCGCTGAAATTTCAAAATGAACTATTCCAACCTTTGAACTGGAAGAGCTCAAATGTGTCTTCAGGGGTGAATGAGTTGACATACAGATGGACAAACAGTGTTTTGACAAAGGCAGGTATATAAAAACGACAACAAAAGATTAAAATCTCATATCAACATTGAGAAACTTGACAAATATGAAGTTGAGGAAAATTCCAAGCTGTCCTTTATATAAATCTAAAAGGTGTTTCGACATTTGAGCGTATATTTCAGCCTCAAACGATATACAATTTTTGAGATGTAGTTACCCAGTATGGCTACAACGATATCCTCCTTAAGAATCTCTATGGAGCCTCGGGAGATGAAGTAGAGGCCAGTTAGGACATCTCCACGATGCTGCAGTGTGTCCCCAGGAGGAACATGTGTTGTCTTGAACTTCATGGACAGTGCCCGCAAACATCCAGGACTGGCACCTGTACAACAAAAACACATGTACATCTTGTAGTTCATTATTGACTAGAAATATAAAATGTTGAGATTATGTTACATTAACCACAATAATACTGCAGCCTCACCTGCATACAGTACAGTAGCTGTCATCATTTACCTAAACTTGCCAACCTTCCCCATTTCTGATGGCGACTCCCTATTTTGGACCCTAAAATAAAGCATTTTTTTCCAGTGAATTTTCTAACCCATTCTTATTTTCTAAGATCTGATGATTTCATCTGATAGAAGGGTTAAATGATGCAATCTGAAAGGGTTATTTGTCCCTGGGAATAATTACACACCTTTCTATGTTTTTAATTATGAGCATGGGTAATCTCCTCCATGGAAATTTCAAAAAGTTGGCAAGTATGCTTGCCATTGGAAAGTGGTGTCAAGTCTTATCATGATAACTAAAAGTTATACCCTTTTAAAAAATTGTGAGTAATAATAGCTGTTGATACAAAACAAATGTTTTTATTAGGAAGAGACTGTGCTTGTAAGATGTTGACTTTTGTGTTTATAGTTGGAAATTCTTGCCTCAATGTGAAGTTTTAGACAATTCTATTTACAGTAACATTGACCTTGACCTTTAGCCTACCATTCCTAATACCAGTAGGGTTGTTTTTCACGGTTAGGGCCACTCACATACAATGTCTGAGCTTTGTGTGATCATTTATTCTGAAGTTAGTTCTGGATATGAACATTCTAATTTTAGTAACGCTGACGTTACAGTCCTAAATTTCAAAGGGCTTTTCCTCTTTTCTATGACAACTAGAGTACCAAAATCGGAGCTTTTTGTGACCATTAACTTTGAAGAAAGGATATGAAAAGAAAATTCTCTTTCCTAGAACATGTGAGCATTATGAGATTATTTAATCTGATGTTAGTATTGAAAACAGGTAATTTGTCTTGTGAAATTCTATTTTTAGTACACTAACAGTGGCCTTGACCTTCAGCAGATCATGCCCAAAATCAATAGGAATTTCCTACTTTTTCATCTAGCAACCAACACACAAAATCTAAGCTTTAGTAAAAAAAAATCTTAGCTACTATCACGACAAGGACATTCTACTTTCAGTAAGTGACCGTGACCTCGACCTCAGATGAACAGCGTCAAAAATCAGTTGGGGATTCAAGACATGCATTCTACCTTTATTAACAGAGATCTTGACCTTGACCTTTGACAAATCAAGTCAAGAAAATAAAAAATAATTTGTCTTCCTATTATCTTCGGCCATTGAGATACCAAACTGAACCGTGTGCAATCGATTGTTATAAAGTAAGTAAAGCATCTCACACCATGTTACTACTATATCCCCCCAATTGTTTCCATGGATATAAAAACTTCAAATTGAATATGTAGAAGATGACTCATAATGTGCACAAATGCATATACAAAGGTAAGTACATCATGCCTTTAGTCTACACTCTGTCTCAAACTCCGGGTGATCTAATAGCCTAGAAGTTACGATGTAATAGCCATTAGTCAGGGTCTCTCTAATGACATATACAAAATGATGGAGCCATTCTTTCTCAGCCAATCATGCAATTTAGTGGTTTAGTATCCTAGGTCTACATCACACTGGGTCCTACATCAGGGACTTATATGTAGACTATGGACATCCTAAGGGCACTGGGTCCTACATCAGGGACTTATATGTAGACTATGGACATTTTAAGGGCACTGGGTGCTACATCAGGGACTTATATGTAGACTATGGACATCATAAGGGCACTGGGTCCTACATCAGGGACTTATATGTAGACTATGGACATCTTAAGGGCACTGGGTCCTACATCAGGGACTTGTAAGTTAAGACTAAGGATATTCGATGGAGACTGGGTCCTACATTAGGGACTTGTAAATTGACTAATGACATCCTATTAGGACACTGGGTCCTACATTAGGGACTTATAAGTAGACTAAGGACATCCCAAGGACACTTAATTGATCCAACATTAAGGACTTGTAAGTACACTAAGGACATCCTAAGGAGACAAAGTAGTTTATTTGCAAGATTGATGGCATTGTCAAGCCGAGTATATTTCAACTGTACACAAATCCCCTATATAGCTAGCATGTCATAAGCACTATTTCCCTGATAGCAATGTACATGTAGCAAGTTCTTATTTTATTATATTGATTTTAATTTGAGGTTTTTAATTGTAAAACCAATGTTAATATATGTGTTTTACTTACATACTTTTAGTATACATATTGAATACTCTCACCGATCATTGTATCACATCACAGTTTAACACAGTTCAGCCCTTATTACCTCCCTTGACGGAGCTCATGCTGTCCCACCTAACAGAAATCATGTGGCTACATACTTACTCTTTCTACGAAAGCAATCAGACTGAGGGTTAAATTTAATTTTGTCTCATCTTTGATATCCTGAATGTTATTTTTAGCAGAAAAGACTAAGAACATTGGAGACATTGAAAACCTGTTTTCCACACACTCACATCTGCACACCTAAACACACACAAACACACCCAAACACACACACATTTTTGTCAAAGTTCTAATCGTTCTTTTCCTTTAGAAAAATGAAAACTACACAGCACTTTAAGATATGAAATTATTGGTCCGAGCCTGGCAAGGATTTATTTTTTGTTATCAGATGTACATGTACATTAAGTATATACTGCAGATAATAGGAAATTCCCAAACAGGTTAATAAACCCTGTTATGAAGAATATTTGTCACCAAAGCTTAAACATATACCAGGTATTCAAATTGTCAGAAGAAAAAATTCTCTTTCATTTCGCAATTGAAGCAATTTAAGCTACAAGTCAGATCTCATAACTCTAGGTGTTATGGTTCTTTGGGTGAAGATTTTAGAATGTTATAACACATTTAACCTATGTGATCTTGCATATAGGTCAAGGTCATTTATTTGAACAAAACTGATAACAGGTCTATCTGGAAAACAACTGGCCAAATGATATTACTTCAGACCAATAGCTATAGTGGCTCATAAGAAGTTGTTGATACAAATTATTCATGTGAACTTGAAACGAAATCAAAATAACGCATTACAAGAAATCAGATAACCCTTCATTTCAGCAAAAATCATCTTGATAGTACATTTACTTATAAGTAATAATTGTCAAAAATGAAAACTGCCAATCAATGTTTACCTGTGGATGGTTATTTACAAGAGACACAAAAGAACTGATTTTTTTCTATTAAAACACCAGCAGTAATTGAAAACATATTTTGCGAACTTTCGAAAAACGCAAAAATGAAAGCTTGCAAAATGAATTTCAAATTACTATTTATGTGTAAAACAAACTTAGCATTTATTGTTCATACCAAACTGATGATTCTCATTCTGAAAGATTTTCTTCTGTTTTTAAAATGTACAGATGTGCAAGAAAATGTGGCGATGACGAAGGCAGACAGCGGACGGACACATCATTGCCATCACTATCATTTCACTTGGCCTTTTAACTCATTCAACCCTGAAGACACATTTGAACTCTTCCAATTCAAAAGTTGGCATAGTCCATTTTGAAATTTCAGGGGTGAACTGAGTTAAGCCAGGTGAAGTTATAAATATTGAATTCTAAACATACAACTATTTGAATGAGTTGGTTTCTTTGTCTATAAATGTGATACAACATGTTACATGCTTTGCCTACAGTGACCAAGTGTAAACTAAACCTTCAACAGTTACCTTCTCCTTAATGGCTGAAAATGGTCAATAATAAAGGGAGATGATTCTACACTTACATTTCAATGTTTTCTAAAAGTGACATGAAGGATTCTGTGAGTATAATCTAAAAATCTATACAATGACCATTTTCATTTTCTATCTACATGTAATGCAACATTTTACAAGAATAGTTGTTGGTGTGAAATTTAAAAAAAATGAGGTACAGGGATTTCTTTTATCTACATGTATACATTGCTAGTGAGTGGTGACTGGCTGTGTGAAGTTTGATTGTCCCGAGACTTGTGTCTATATTGATAATGCCTGGTTTATTACATGCCTACCCTGACGTGATCTAGACGGCGGGGACCGGACACCTTAAATCTAACTCACAGGTAACAACCACAAGTTTTCAGGAACACATATTCCTTCCTCTAAAACAATATTCAGCATTAAACGGTTAACCATAATGTATCTTAACTCCAAATATTTCTGACCTTTGATTGTTGAAAGTTACTTAGCTCACTGCTGATACAACTTTCCCGTAATGAAGATCGAATCTTATGTCAATTCCATTGAGGCTAGCGAAACATTCAGATAAATCGAATACTTGATACAGTGTATAGGAAAAAAATAAGAAAATATTTTCCTGTTATTGTTCCCGGAAAAATAAATATTTGTAGAGGACAAAGTGATATGTTACCATTTCACGCCAAGTATTATTGCAATAATCTACAAATTACAACAGCGTTATTCACAAACAAAAATTATCATATAAAACAGTGTTTTTCACAAATGTTTTTTTTTTTTTTTTTAATTTTCCCTAACAATTTTTTAACCACATGTAAACTTTCCCTCCCCACCCACACTCAAAGTAAGCATTTCTCCTCCCTAACTTCACTCAGATTAAACATTGTTTTCCATCTATATTTTCAGAAAGGTATATATGTTGCTGACCAGTGGTTGTATCTGGTCAGATTTAAGCCATGCTGGACAGGCTGGAAAGAATAATGTCCCCCTAGCATGCATCTCCCAAATCATACATAGTTACCTGACTCCGGAGCAAACAGCACTTTAAAAGTCAAAAACAATTTCTAAAATGTTTAAATAAAATTTCTAGTTCGTGGTCTTAAGAGTATCTTGGTATTCTGACTAAGATAAATCATATGAAAAAAACATATAACCTACATAAATAAACTTATCAAATGATACTCTACCTAGTGATACAAAACTAAACATTTTAATTGATTTACTAAATTTAAAAAAATGAAACAGAAATCATACCCAAATAGAAAACAAAAGTTAAGAAAATCTTAAACAGACAAAAACATGATAGAGAATTAACACTACATTGAAATCTGTCTAAAATTAAAATTGTTTCAGGTACATTAAATAAACAATAGAGATCTTGGTCACAATATCTCTATTAAAACCTGTCTGTTAAGGACAAAAGGTTGGGTCCTAGTAGAATTTTTAGTTTAGATTTTGCAAAATATTTTAGCTATAACCAAGTAACTGCCAACTGGTATTTTTGGCAAACATATTCTTCTTAAAATGTTCCAAAAAATAAAACCAACGATCATTATAAAAATAAAACTGATCATATTGAATTTTAAAAAAGACTCATCACTAAATGTTTTATGGGGAAAGAATTTATTTCTATCATTTCACACTTGCTGGCCTTGAAACAAGAACGTAATACCCCCCCAAAATATTCAAATGAATACAAAGACAGATGTTTGATGGTTGTGCTGTGGTCTACAAGTTTTGTTAAATATTTAAAGTAAAGCAACATCAATTAAACAAAGTTAAATTCTAATAGTACATCACTACTATGGTCCAGCTTATAGAGAATGTACTGAACATAGTCATACTGAAACCTCCTGCTCAACCATTGAACTCTTTAATGTCTCAACCAATCAGAGGTCAAAGTGGCCATCTTGAAGTTGAAAAATTAAAAGTAAGCCTTCTAATTAATGTTAAGTTTATTCCCTATGTATTTCTCCCACAAGGTATCAGTTACATGTACAACCCTGATTGACTCAACCCTGATTGACTGAGTCAATCAGAGGCCATAGTAGCCATCTTGATTCCCATAAATTAAAAGTTGTCCATTTGCTGTGAAGCTTTCCCCTATGGATCACTCCCAGAAAGTTTTATTGTGATCGGCCATAGAATTTTGGAAAATTTGTCTGTACATGCAGGGCGTGAAACGATCTTGTTGCTCTTTAAATTTCTGGCAATCCTTCTTGATTATTCTGAACTCCTTGTCAGCTTTGAGCAGATATTTAAAAAAATGATTGCTTGAAAATCTGACTTATCAACTATTGCAAAGCTGATGAAGTTTTGATGAAAATTTGCTGTAGATATTAGGCAAACAGAATTATATGTTCATTCTTTATGTCATAGAGACCATATTTACGATAACAATTTTTTAATACACTGTTCCATCAACAGCACATCGATCTAGCTGCAGTCATGGTTTGTTAACGCCATTCCAACTGTTAACAAAGAAATGAACGGCTTTATGAGTGGTAAAGTGCAGGTAAGTATGGGAATCAACAGTGACTCTTATCTTACCTTTAAAAGCTTGACAATTGTTGATCAATGTTTTATTCAAATGCAGGCAAATATCGGCCTGCAAACATTCTGGAAAACTTTTCAGTACCTGTTAGATGAAAAACAAAGTGTTCAATCCAAGTTAATTGCCTCTTGGCGTCTCATCAATATTTCTGGTAATAAGTCAATCTCCAGTATTGAGAATCAGGGCTCAAAGAGCAGTCTTACAATATATTGATATCTTAGACTAAATACTCTTTCATGTGCATGGGTTAAATCGGGAAATTCCAAAGTTTGCAAATAAAGTAAAGACATGGGGCTCCAGGTTAAATTTCTGTTTCTTTTATGCCTTGTACACAGCTGTATGAAAGAGCACTCTTCTCTCCATCCAATAATCATATTTAGCTCAGAAACCATGAGGAAAACAAACCAGTCAGCAAAATTGTGAATACCATAATTTATCGAACATAGTTTGGAAAAAGAAGTAATCATGCTATTCTGCTTTTTACAGCTTGCTGATTGGTTTAGTTTTCAATTTCAATTCAATTACGTTTAGTTTGCATTGAAATTTTAAATATTTCATGACAGGCACCAATAATTGTAATTTACTGCTGAATGAAAATGCAGTTTTGACTGTAGTAAAGCAGAAAAATAACATTATTTGAAATAATATACACAGTCAACCGCAAGCAGTGTTATATATCTTCCTGTGAATATGATAAACGTTTTTGAAAAAAGACTTTGCAGCGATATACTTGCAGTATTGATCAAGTATTACTTTTAAACCAGAAAGGGTTTCTAGCAGTTGAATTTGAAGATTCATTTTGCTGGGGGGAAAAAGGTGAAAAATAAGACTGTATGGAATACAGGTCTAATATAATCTAATATACGAGTGATAATCTTCTCCCTAACAAGAAAATAATTAGCAGTCAATACCAACCATGTTCATATCAATCCCGTTTGTATATGACCATGCATGCTGAAAGTACTCTTCAAGCCTCTGTCGGAGTGGGTTCGGAATCTGATGGAATCGGATGAATTCTTTGATTCGTAGCATCTGTGTATGGTATCTGGCTGTTCCACTGTATAATCTTTGAATTATTGCTGATACATTACCAAATATACTGGCATACATCAATGCTGTAATGAAGAGATTGGGTTCTCTGGTAAGATATATCAGGAATGAATTCTTGATAAATATCCACATTGTGAATATCACTGTCACCTGTATGTCATATAGGATCTAGCTACAGATGGGTCCAAACTTAGATTGAGATAATTCTTAAATGTGGTATTTATGAGCATAACAATGACAGTAGAGGAAGCAGTCAATAATGCTGAAATTGTCTCCCCTAATATCACAGCTATAGTGCTGCAACCACTTGTCTCCTCTTATATTAAAACTGCAGTTGTCTCCCCTTATACCAGAACTACAGTTGTTTCCTTGTATATCAAAACTGCAGTTGTCTCCCCTTACATCATACAGTGTATCTAAAGTTGTCTTCTCAACATCAGAGCTAGATGTCTCCCCTTACATCATACAGTGTAGCTACAGTTGTCTCCCCTTACATCATACAGTGTATCAACAGTTGTCCCCAGTATAACAGCACTCTTCCCTTGTACGAGAGCAAAAAATTGTCTCCCCTTATTCAAGACGTTTTAAATGTTATATACGAGAAATACAGTCGTCTCCCCTTTTTCAGAGCTACACTGGTCTACCCTTACATGAAAACAACAGTTGTCTCCCCTTAAACAATACCTTCTAAATTTGTATACTCTTATATATGAGATACAGTTGTATCCTTTTTTTTCAGAACTTACGTTGTCTCATCTTAAATCAAAGCTACAGTTGTCTCCCCTTATACTACAGTCAGATACTACGGTTGTCTCCCCTTATATCAATGTCAGATACTACAGTTGTCTCCCCTTATATAACAGTCCGATACTACAGTTGTTTCCCTTTATATCACAGTCAGATACTACAGTTGTTTCCCTTTATGTCACAGTCAGATACTACGGTTGTCTCCCCTTATATGACAGTCAGATACTACGGTTGTCTCCCCTTATATGAGTCAGATACTACAGTTGTTTCCCTTTATATCACAGTCAGATACTACAGTTGTTTCCCTTTATGTCACAGTCAGGTACTATGGTTGCCGTTACTCAGGCAGTACTTACATCCAATCAACATGATGAGGATGGAGAAGATCTTCTCAGAGTTTGTGTTTGGAGACACATTACCAAACCCCACACTGGTCAGACTGCTGAAGGTGAAGTATAGGGCAGTCACATATTTTGATTTTATGGTTGGTCCACCTGTTCCATTAACATATTGCTGATGAGTTTGTTCTGCTAGCTGGTCCAGCCAACCGATCTTTGGCGGAGGAAGGTGAGGTCTCTCAACATTACCAATGGCGTACCATATACAGGCTAGCCAATGGGCTATCAGTGCAAATGTTGCCATTAGCAACAACAACACAGCTGCACCATATTCCGAATATCTGTCCAATTTCCTAACTACTCTAACCAATCGGAGGAGACGAGCTGTTTTTAATAGTCCAATCAGTGTTGCTGTCTGTAATAAAAATATATTTGGTTATGAATTGCATGCATTATTCCAATATCATTGTAAATCAGTACAAAATATAAATTATACATCGTTACTGTTTAAAAGGTTCTAAATGTAAAACTGAAAATAGATTTTTTTCTGTTACCTGTCTGTCAGTGATCATTTGAAACCATCATAACCTGAACAACAGGCTGGTCAGCCATAACAGTCACTTGAATGAAATTGTGAATGACATAGCCATATTGTTTTAAAGTAGATATAACTTCAAATGAATAAAACATAAGTGGGTCAATGAAATGTCCTCCAATGTGGGGCATAGTGAACAAAGAAATGTTTCTCAAAATTTCGGCCTAAATCTACAAGCAAATTTCAGCTGAGATGCCACTTGAAGGATTTCCAGTAGGTTTTCATGCTCCTGAGCCCAGTTAAAGGGAACAGTCCCACCGTAATTATAAATCAGCTTCTAATCATTACGTATCTTTTTATGAAATAACGATGGTAAATGATTTAATCACCATACATTAATTTCAATCACATAATGTTTCATAGCTTTTTTTTTATCGACTCAAAAGATTTGCTTAAGTATTCCACTTCTGTAATGCATTAATGTATCATTAGGACTTATTTTAATTAATGGGTTTTCAAGTCAATGTTACTTTGGAGAAAATGACAAAAAATGCTGAAATACCTATAAAAAAACAACCTATATGTATACTTACGAATTTGAGCACTCATTAGGAATTCATTAGTGAATTTAATGGTTCATTATCAAATAAAACACTTTGAAGTCGGCATATTTGACTAAATTACCAATAGTAGAGATAAGAAAAATTGTTTGTAAACAAATATGTAGCCTGATGTTCATTCATTCACAGGACTATGGCCTTCATTCACATCTACATACAGCTATGTTCCTCAGATGGTTCTCCAGTTCTAAATCCAGTCTTATTTATTGTTACTTTACTTTCAAAGTGAGTTTTACAGAAAAGATGGCCTAAAAAAAGCACCATTATTAGAAATTCTTCAAAGAATGAATTCTTCAGATCTTATATCAAATGGTAGAAACAGATTTTAAAAACATTCATATTTAATATCATTGCACACAGGGTAAAAATATTGCATACTGAGAAAATCCCACTATTACGCTTTGGAGAAGGAAATTAAAGACAAATTAATTGCTGACATCTTTAACATTTAAATGTAATCATATCTCGGCCTTCCTCCTTAATTTGTTGGCCCCCCAGACCCCGCCCCCCCACCCCCGGACATGTATAAAGGAGGAGGAATCAGCACACATGCAGATCTGGTGACCAGGTTTGATATATAACATCTTTTCTCTTTGGTGATAATGTTATTTCTTAAAGAAGGATATAAACCAAACTCTCCTGATGAGCTTTACATATGCTTTGCATATTTTTTCTCATTGCTTTATCAGTCGTTAGACACACACACAAATATCACAAACAAAATCACAAATTACATTTGTGATTTCTCTTTCCTTTATGGAATTTTGTACAAAAAGTGTATAATCTATCAATTCATGAATCATGTTTTTTTATTCATCATAATTTCATTGAATAAACACTGATAGACCATACGCAGCTTAATATCGAAGATAATGGTGTTGGTTAAAATTCAGTTTGCATATTTACTCTGTTTTCAAATGCTCCACCTGGATGTTTTACAAAAAATTATCTTTGATATCAAAGATAATGGTGTTGGTAAGAAATTCAGTTTACATATTTACTCTGTTATCAAACGCTCCACCTGGATGTTTTACAAAAAATTATCTTTGATATACTCGTATAGATATCATTTCCTCAATTTTTAACAAATTTTACAGACTGAAATAATAAATTTTCCATTACTTGTTAGATTTCTTTAATTTGTTCATTCAGTAACACAAAAATAATATCTCATTACAAAATAATAAAATGTTATGTCTTCGTATGTTTATTGTAATAACATTATAATTTTTCTATAGTCAGTGGTCATTATTTATTTGAGTAATTTATTTGTGAGGTGCCACTCTGCGTTGTATCATTTAATTAAGTAATACCCACAATTTATAAACATGTACACCTTGACTGGTTAATTGTTGCAATACATGTATTATCTCATTGAACCCTGAAATTTCATAATAAACTATTCCAACCTTTGAGTTGGAGGATTTCAAGTGTGTATTCAGGGGTAAATGAGTTATACACTTATTTATTTTAATAATCAATTAATTAATTAATTAACACTACACATAACTAAAACACATGAGAAAATCAGTCAATACACCTGTGCTATATACTCACCTTAATATAGTGAAACCTGTCTAAATCAATCATTAAATACCTTTACAAACTAGACCCTTAGCTTCAAAGGCCACACTACAATGTAGGTGCAAGTATTTCTATGTAAGTTATAAAAAGTCTTTCAATATTAAAACGGTCCTCCATTTATTGAGCTAGACAGGTTTCACTGTAGTAAAAAGGAAATTGATAACACGTATTTCATTTGGTTAAAAAGAAACACTTTTTATAGCATCACAGTTGCCATATATATGTCCTTATTGTTTTATTGGGCCATGATAACTATACAAACAAGAAAACAATTCACAAGAACAGAACACAGCACTCGTGTCAGATTTACCCAGGGCTGGATACAGAAATAAAAACACAGTTGTTTTAGATAGGAATCAGGGAGTTAGCTCCCTTACTAGAAACTGTGTTGACTCTGTTGTTATACATGTATATAAATATGTATTCTAGTACACGTATACTTTTAAAAAGGTTGTGGACCTTATTGTTTGTTTATCGAAAATACAAGTGTAATATGTGCACTTAATTTGTGCAAGTACTAATTTTAAGAACTAAAAATGCTTGAACAAAACTTTTACATATCTAATTTGCGCAACACTTTTTCTCTCAAAAACAATGTCCAGCATGAAACCTTATACCACTCTCAGACAGTGATGGACCTATATATTTTACTAGTGACTTGTATAATCCACACACGAGAATTGTATACTTCTAACAAAGAGCCGTGAACCTTTACTACTCGTAAGGGTTTTTTGATAACCCACACAAGAGTTTTTTATCAGTACTTAGAGTGGTAGACATAAACACTACCTCCTAGTGTCCTACCTGTAAAGTACTTCCCCCTGGCATCATCAACTAAACACCAAATCGCTATCGTTTAAGCAAGTTGTTACAGTTCAACAGACAATACAGTATGAAATTGCTTTGCAGATATTTGAAATACATTTAAAAAAATACTTATTGAATGACTAATAAATCTCATTTCATTAAAAGCATCATCACTTTAAATCATACATGATGTCTTTTTTTCCAGATGAAAATCACCTCCAGGTTCAGTTATGGGGATACCTTGCTGATGGTCTATAATGATTTAATTGGCTAATAAATACAACAAAATATGTTTTCTTTGATCCTTAATTTCAATTATATCAAAAGCTCATTATAATGCCACTACTTCTCCTGCATACTGTTGGCACTATAAAGAGGTCTGGACTTGATATGTAAGTAGTAAGTTAGGTGACAGTGAAAGGAAGGGCAATATATAAAAGTTTCAACAGTGTCCATATTGTTGTATAAGACTATTATTTTTTAGTGATGGGTGTTTATTTTTAATTTTCGAATAACACTATTCATCTTAACTATCATGAAAAGAAGTAAATATAATTTTATGAAATGAGAGTACCACAACTATTTCTTTATCATTGGGTCCTGACTGTAAATCTTTAAATATAAACTATATTTTTTTATAACAATTATGAAACAAGTTTTTACAACTTATATTAATCACTCTTCACTCTTGTTGGCCCAGATGTTAGCGCAAGAGTGGGTCTTAATGAAAGAGAAAACCCACTGTAAATTTTTGGACATTTGAAAATTCTAATTTTTACATTATTTAATACGCTTCAAACAATTTATTTAAGTTGATTTGAGTTCATGCATGAACAATAACATATACATAAATATAATACTTTTTAAATTATATCAAATATACATTAACATTTGTCATCTATTTCCGAAGGAAATTATATATGAAAAAAAAAAAGAATATTTAAGATATACAAATAATAATTCCTCTACTCAGCCTTCACTTAAAGTCCTGTTTTTGTTTCATTCATTTATCGTTAGAAACATAAATTTGCAGGTTGATTTGAAAGTAAGGAGGTCTACACTGGTATCTAACTTATTTGTTGCCATACTGCAGTGTTTGTGGCTCCAAGTAATGAACCTAGAAAATATGCTGCCACAAAAATTGCACTGTACACAGTATCAAACATAATTAGAGAAAGCTAAATTTTCTCAAATTGTTCAATGTGATATTCAGAAATCATGCCCATGAAATGGTTGCTAGGTTTAAACTAAAACTTAAGATTTACTTTGTATTGGTGCTGATGATGGTGTGGAGATCTGTTTCTAGTAAAAGGATCACTTAAATGATCATGTTAAACATTGTTCTAACCTAGAAGATTGTGAGACAACTCAAAGAATAGGCGAAGTTTAAAATAGCATACAACCTATAGGCCAGGCTAACAAGATCTTGTAGCGCAGCTTAATGATGGAGTGGAGAACAATAATTTCAAAAAATACCCACCTCGTCCGTCTCCGATCCGAACAGTAGAAGGTCAAAGGGAATGGCCGCTACCACGTCTATAAGAAACCATCCTTTGAAATAATGCACAGCAATTTTGCCCGGATGACTGACCACCTCATCGTTTTTATTTACATATGTCGTCCTAAAGTTTATCAATATGTCAATTATAAACATGATATCAACGATCAAATCTATGATGGTCATTGGATTCTGGTACCGCACCTCAATACTTTTGTTACCATCAGTTTTCCGATTATTTTCTTCGCTCAGTAAGAACGCTGCCGCATAGGGCGTGAATATAGCCGTGTAAATAACAAGAAGGAGAATTATCCAATCCCATACGGCTTTAAACGGAGAATAATGAAGGATTGTGAGGCGATGGATTCTGGGTGACTGAAGCTTGTATTCTGGCAACACATCCGCCCCCAGAGACAATACCTGAAAAATAATGAAACAATTTTAAAAACATGGCTCTAATTGAAATTTGACTTTTTTTTTTTTTTTAAATCAATAGAATTTTTATTGTTATTTAGAAAATGATCAAAATCTGATTGCATTACTATTCAATCAAAATGTTTTTTGTTTTTTTCAAACGGTTCATTTACTGACCAATAGATATTTTCATTTTACGCTTTAGTTCAGAGTTTTCTTTAAAGAAAGGCTCAGATAATTATTATTATCTTATATTACAAACGGTTCTTTCACAGTTTGAATGGCATTGTAAATTTCCATGTTATATTCAAAACAATATCTTTAAGGTTACTGTAAAAATTCTCCTTTGGATTTTTTTTCACAATTGCAAAACAAGATTCACAACATATATAGAAATTAAAAGAAGGGACAAAATAACAGATGAAGCTTTTTTTGAAAAGGTCATTATTGAATATGGCCTGTATAGAAAAAAAAAAAAATATAATTAAAATCTGACTTACAGGTAACAGTATCAATAATAACCAAAAGAGCTTAGAATTAAAATTTTAAATACCATTTTAACTGATCATACTTTCACAATTTAATGAAATTAAAGTCTTAATGAGAATATATTTTAATGTATAAAACCAACTTGAATTCTTATTTATTTGAATTTATTTAAATATCATTGAATATTTTAAACAAATCTTGCAACTGTTTTTAAAAGAAATACATAACGGATATAGAAGACTTTACCCCACATGACTTCACTTGACAAGATAGACAAATACGTAGACAACAACACATACACAAGACCCTTCACTGCACCACAGGACAGACATAGCGCTATATGTGGCTATATATATATGGCACAGGAAAGCAGCCAGGAGGAGATAACTCATAATGTTCAGGGAGGGAAAATCACTTCACACACTTAATAGGACAGGGGAAATAACTTCCTACAGCATACGTAACAGAAGCAGATGTTTTAATTTCAATATTTATACACAGGGGAGATTATAAACTTCATACATTATACAGAAGGGGAAATAACTCTACACTGCAAATCACATACATTTTGTAAAATATAAGAAGGGAAGGGAGATAATTAAACACAATATTTTACAGGAAAAAGGAGGTTTTGTTCCACAATAATTTACTTGTAAAAGATTGCTTCTACTTCCTGGTCATAAGGGAGACAACTCCAGAATATATTGTGTTACTTGACTAACAGAATATCACCTAGAAAGGAAGGGGACATAACTCCATATGGATGACATCACATTCTAGCACAATTTAAGGAAAGTTACACCTATAAATTTGTTGCATACACATGTGTAATAACAAAGGGAGAAGAAACAGTTAATACAAGACAGCTGTAAGGAAAGGATCTTTGGTATACTCAGGGATAACGTCTCATACAATTTTTTCAACACAGAACCATCCCCTTGCAGAGGTCTTGATGGTTCCAATACTCTATGTATATACATGTAGTATCTGGCAATGTCATCGGTTGACAAAAATCCATAGAAAAGAACAGAAAATTTTCATTTCATAGATCAAAATAAATATAATTTCAATCACAGATCTAGACTACAAGGAGACATCATTTGTGACAAGGACCATCTTTGTATAGATTTGTACATGATATCAGTTTTATATAGGGTATGATACTAGATAGATACAGGTTATAGTACCCGTATAACAAACAGTCAGACTATCTCCACAATATTAGAGAATCCCTACAGTTAATGGTCTGGATTAACTTAGGAAACAAGTACCGCCAATTTTAAAATGTATTACTACCATTTGCAAAATTAAGCAACATTTTTTGAAGCCATTTTCTATGTAACAGCTGTAGAAAAAGACATGATGCAATACATTTTACAGAATTACTTTCGCTTGAAATAGGAGAACACTTCTATAACAATGAAAACGGAATGAATAAAACAAATAAACTAAAATTAAATGGGTCAAACTCGGGACCTACCCATGCCCAATTCAGCACTTTGTCAATGTTAATATCAAAGAATTTTAAATGCACAATAGATCAAAATGAAAGCTGTTTAAGTGTCTTATTTATGCAAAAGAGATAACTCAAAATAGAAAAAGAAGTTGAACTCTTCTTCGTATCTATAGGTTTCTGCAGTGGTACCCTTTACCTTAAGCTATATATGCTAAGGATGCCCCAAAATCAGTACTACATTTGTAGTTAGTTTCACTTCATCCTGGTAATGGTCAATGCTTGAAATAGATCAATTCAACATCATTTTGATATGTAAATGAGCTATAGAAGCTGTTACTCTTAGCACTTTATTACAAACAATTCTTAATCAAAACAATGGAGAGGTAATGCAATGAATTATGTAACAATCAAAAATATCTTCCAAATTGATACATAATTGAACATTTAAAATCTTCAGGATTTTAACCCTTTCACGACTGTGGACCATAATGGACTCATCCATATCAATGCATAGTAGAGTCTACTAAAGTTACATAGGGGTGAAAGGGTTAATAGTTTTTGAGTCTTGTTAAAATTTCTTTCTGTTACATAACACACGGAAAGAAGACATTTTTTTTATACAATGCCTTTTAAGAAATATGAATTTATTCTGATATTGGATATTATCTTACTCATGTTTGCAGAATATATACCAGTGGCATTATGAGCATATACAACTCTATATACACACCTACTCATGCAGCCTCTGTACCTCAATATAGATAACACTGTCATCTATATCAGCATCATCATCACCCAGCAGCAGCAGCAGCAGCAGCACATGCAGTGAAGTTTAACTTACATTCTTAATCAATTTATGTCTACAACTTCTTGACAGTAACTCATTTACCCCTGAAGACACATTTGAACTATTGCCATTCAAAAAGTTGGAATAGTTCATTATGAAATTTCAGGGGTTAATGAGCTAATTAACAATGATTAACTATGGCAATATTATCAGGAAGTAGATCAACTTCACCGCTTGATGAACTTTTGACCCAATCCTGCCATCTGTCAGTTTGTTTTTGTAAACTGATACATAGCAAACTAATTTACATATGTAAATATGATATCCATATACAATAATGATATTTAATTTTTAAAATTTGTTATAGATATATGACTCAAAACACTTCAAGTGAAGAGAATGAATGGCTTCAGCTCAATCCCAATACTGTTTTATTTTCCTCACAATTACCCACTCCAGTGAGTACATATCTTATTACAATCAGCCGCAGTTTCACAATACACTTGAATGGAATCTTTTATCGAGCATGTCACACATACATAAATCATTTTCTTAAGTGTTCTGTTCTCAAACAGTAAAAATAACTAGTATGTTCACATCATTAAGAAATGCTGTGTCCATGCCACTCTTTACCAGTATCTCTTATTCCGTTGGTAAAGATATCTGTATTTCTGCTAATGCAGATATTTATGATTGATTTTGTGGATCTAATTATTATCACAACAACCAATTACCACCAAGAATTAATAAATATACTTAAAACGAAAAAAATTATAATTGTTCTAATAAAGGTTGGGAAAAAATAGTAATTTTATATCTGAAACAGCATCAGTATCACTATAAGGTGCATATATCTTATTATGGCAAAGCTTGTGAACATCTGTATATATATAGATAGATATATGGTGCAGTGATATTTGTTTACCTCTGCTGCAGACGAACTCGTGAAACCGTCATGACATGAACCCTGTAAAGTTCCACGTTTGACAAAGGTCATGATACAATTACATGACAGCTAGTCTAAACTGGATCGAGATACATTAAAGATATGTCCCCTTGTCAACACCACAGAATTTTCCACCACACCATGCAAACGTGCACCTCACACCGCCCAATAATCAGCCTCATTTACCTCCTGGTCCATTGCACTGCAATGGTGTAATATATATATATACCAGCTAGGCCGTCCACCCCAGCCTCCTCAGCTGCGGTGAGACTGACTTCGACGACAAAGTTATTGGCCCATCTCTATAAATATTGACATCCTATGTCAACATTGTCACTGGCAAAGCCCTAATTTATTGTTCAATCAATTCAGAATCAGTCAGTGTACCATTTAAACGTATACCACAGTACCTAAGGACAGTACTAGCCATCATTGCCTTACTAAAACCAATCATCAGGTCCATGCCTGGCCATATCAACCATTTGGTTCACTTAAATATTGCATAAAACTTTATCTATAATGCATGCATGATCATCATTCTGTGAGCATTATGGAATGTAAATGTATATAGCATAGAGTATATTGCAAATCCTTCTACAGCAGCCTATCTGTCAGGCCTCTCTAGTATGATGACACACAAATGTAGTTCACAAAATGTGGTCTACAATGAGCCCATTTATTTGAGAAACCTGTCTTATAGATACCACAAAAATCAGAGAAACCTGTGTTTTTTAGAAACTTGTGTATAATGACATTTCAAAGAAACTTGTGTATACTGACATTTTAAGGAACCTGTGTATAGCGACATTACACAGAAACCTGTGTATAAAAACATCTCACAGAAACAGATGTATAATGACATTTCACAGAAACCTGTGTATATTTACATTTCACAGAAACCTGTGTATAATGGCATTTCATAGAACCCTGTGTATTAAGACATTTCACAGAACCTTGTGTATGACCACATAGTTTAAGGAAAGGCTTGTATAGGCTTAGAATGCCTGTTAGTAATTATTCTGATTGCACTCAAGATCTGTACAATGTAATATTCTTAAATGAAACCACACAGCTCTCAGAAACCTAGTTAAAAAGACCACTAGCAATGTTGGTCAAAGTTTATTCTAATATCAATCATCAATTACCATGACTATCTATTTGAATCTTTATCACCTTATAGCTCATGATGGTTTGAGAAACCCGATAATACAATTTTCAATATTGATGCAAACACCTGGAGCTTTTCCAAGCTCCGTTTCCAGAATTTCATATGCCAAGATATGATATCTGATTTTGTTTCAGCAGAGTTTCGGTTTAAATTCCAACTG